GAGGCCAAAGATGTACTAAATTCACCAGCTTCCATGGGAAAGGTTGTGGCTAGCAGAAGCGTCGTAATCCCAGCCGAATCTGCCAAACTAATAAATGTTATGAGTGAAGAGCTTAATGGGCAAAATCAGGTACTTTTTGAACCTTCGAAAAAGGTATCAATAGGAAAAGGGTTAACACTTCCCTGTGCATTATTCAGGCTTTCCCATAATAAAGGAAAACTTTGGATCGTAGATTCTGGCACCACAGCTCAAATAGTCCCTAAGGGAATGTGCCTGGGAAAGATTCAAAGGGTTGAAGAAAATAACTTGACGGCTATTTCGGAATGTTCTGAATTTAATAAGGAGGTGAAAGATGGGAATCATGCCAGTCATGCTGATAAAGGTGACTTTAAATTTTTACAAAATCTAATTAGTGATGATTTATCAGAGGAGCAGCAGTCTCAAATCTTATCAATTTTAAAGCGACATGATAGAATATTTGATAAAAATAATGAACCAGTAAAGCAAACTTCAGTAACCAAGCATAAAATTGAAACTGGAAACCATCAGCCTATTAAGCATAGACCATATCGAGTCTCCCCTACAGAACGCCAAGCAATCCAAACGGAAGTGGACAAAATGCTAGACGCCGGGATTATACGTCATTCAGAAAGTCCATGGTCATCGCCGGTTATTTTAGTGAAGAAGAAGGATGGTAACTGGCGTTTCTGTGTGGATTACAGACGACTAAACAAGGTTACTAAAAAAGACGTTTACCCACTACCTCGAATCGATGATACACTTGACTCCCTGAAAGGAGCCAAATTTTATTCATCAATGGACCTTCGTTCAGGATATTGGCAGATAGAAGTCGACGAAGCAGATAGAGAAAAAACTGCCTTTATTACCCCTGACGGACTCTATGAATTCCTGGTCATGCCCTTTGGCCTATGTAATGCCCCTGCAACATTCGAGCGCATGATGGACAAGATATTGAAAGGCCTGAAATGGACGATGGCCCTCTGTTATTTAGACGACATCGTTGTGTATTCCAAATCGTTCAACGAACATTTACACCGGCTTGAAATCATACTACAATGTCTCGACAAAGCCGAGCTACGCCTCAACCCCAAAAAGTGCCTTTTCGGAACCAAACGAATAAGAGTGTTTGGACACCTCGTCGATAGTAAAGGTATTTATCCCGATCCAGAAAAGATTGAAGCTATCGCCAGGTTTCCGACCCCAAGATCTATAACAGATGTGAGAAGCTTCATTGGCTTATGCTCCTATTATCGTAGATTTATCGAAAATTTTGCTGAGAAAGCTGCTCCTCTACACGAAGTCCTCAAAAAAGATAATAAATTCACGTGGAACTCTGACCAACAGGATGCTTTTGATTCCTTGAAAGAAGCATTGATGTCTGAACCTGTTCTTGCCTATTTCGAAGAACAACTGCCAACCGAGCTTCATACTGACGCCAGCGGTTATGTAATTGGAGCTGTCCTCGTGCAGATCAACGATGGGAAGGAGCGGCCAGTTGGTTATGCTTCAAGAACTTTATCGAAGGCGGAGAAGAATTACTCAACAACGGAAAGAGAATGCTTGGCCGCAATATGGGCCATCAACAAATTTCGACCGTACCTTTTTGGTCGTGAGTTTGTCATCGTCACTGACCACCACGCTCTTTGCTGGTTATCTAACCTGAAGGACCCGACAGGAAGACTAGCAAGATGGGCTTTAAAACTCCAAGAATACAACGTAACAGTTGTTTATAAAAGTGGACGCAAACATCAAGATGCCGACTGTCTTTCTCGAAATCCTCTCCAACTTGAATCGGAGGAAGCATACAATGATGAGGATGATGATATACCCTCAATAACTGCTCTGACGTGCTTTGAGGCTGAACAAAGAAAAGACCCTAAAATTAGTAAATTGATAGAAGAAACAGAAGGATTTGGTGCAGAATCGAAAGGATATGAAATGTTAAAAGGAACCTTATACAAAAAGAATTTCGACCCCCTGGGAAATCAACACCTTTTAGTTGTTCCCAGGCACTTACGCTTAGAACTACTGAAAAGTTTACACGACGCTCCCACAGCAGGTCATCTTGGATTTTCGAAGACATATGAGAGAGTTAAAAACAAATATTTCTGGCCAGGACTTCTCCGGGACATACGGAAGTATGTCGCTCATTGTAAAGAGTGCCAAAGAAAGAAACAATCAACTCAAAAGCCACCCGGACTACTTAAGGCAATACCTCCTGCAACCTCCCCTTTTCAGAGAGTTGGAATGGACCTCCTTGGAAGATTTCCCAAGTCTGATACTGGTAATAAATGGATCATAGTCTGCACTGACTATCTTACTCGATTTGCCGTTACTAAAGCCTTACCCACAGGGGAAGCAAAAGAAGCAGCCAAGTTCTTAATGGAAGATGTTGTTCTTAAGCACGGAGCCCCCAGAGAAATCATCACGGACCGAGGACGAGTATTCCAATCCAAGTTGATTGCGGAACTCACCAATCAATGCTCGTCGATACATAGGTTCACGACAGCGTATCATCCCCAGACGAATGGACTTACGGAGAGATTAAACAAAACCTTAGCCAACATGATCGCTATGTATGTAAGTGTTGAACAGAAGGACTGGGACGTAATCCTGCCCTACGTTACGTTCGCCTACAACACGGCAAAACAAGATACGACAGGTTTTACCCCTTTTGAACTGATTCATGGACGCGAAGCCGAGACAACTGTAGACACTCTTTTCCCAAATCCGCATGAAGATCTCCAAGAGGATTACAGTCAGAGGATTGCCTCGCGAGTCGAAGAGACTAGGCAGCTAGCAAGATTAGAAACCTTGAAAGCCCTAGAAAAGGACAAGGCCAGATATGACTCAAAGCACGAAGCAATGGATTACGACGTTGGTGACCTGGTATGGATTTTCATCCCGATAAGAAAGGTGGGACTCTCAGAAAAACTGATGAAAAGGTACTTCGGGCCATACAGGGTTACTCGGAAACTCTCTGACGTGACCTTCGAAGTTGAACCTGTGGACCAACCAACCAGGAGACGCCAAACAAGAGACCTGGTCCATGTACTGAGAATGAAACCCTACCATGACCCTGAGGACCAAGCTGATCTGTTCAAGTGATAATTACAGCGGGACGCTGTTCATCTGGGAAGGGGGCAATGTCACTGAATAATTATTTTAAATATTCTGTGGTATATCATCATTTATATTTGCATAGTCACTCATTACGATTCTTATATATTTTACTTGTAAATAAATTTTTAGATATAGTTTTGCATTTTCTAAATAAACTATTTTTTACTTAAACTTTTGTAGTGTTCGTTATCTCTACCGTGACAATATATAGATATTTTTCATTTTAATTTAGACCCTTTTTTTTATTTAGACATTTTAAACTTTAATTATAGACATTTTTTATTTCAATTTAGACCTTTTTAATTTTATAGAAAAGTCCATGTATCTAAATTAAAATGAAAAATGTCTAAATAAAATTGAAACCGTCTAAATTAAAATCAAAAATGTCTAAATATAAATTAAAATGAAAGCATCTAAATTAAAATGAAAAATTTCTAAATATAAATTAATATTGTCTAATTAAAAGTTAAAAACCTATATATAAACAGATTCACGATAATTTCAACAGAATATCTAAATCTGTTATTGCATAATCATTATATTTTCAATATGACCCGCGCGCGCGTGTTTAACCAGTTTTACTACCATTAACAAAGATAGTAAACCAATTATCTGACTTTAATATCAAACGATCAGTAAATCAAAATGGTAGATTATATTATCAAAACATTTAAAGGACCTCAGAGTAAAGAAATATCAGAGAATATTGATATTTTTAATGGATTACCAGTAGTGGTGTTCCCGAGTATTCCTCCTGTAATTCCTGTACAGAGACCAAGCCCATCACGAAATGGTAATGTATATTATGTAGTAGATATAATACTATATTTAGTATAGTAGCTGTAACACTAGATAGACAATTTAACAATTAAATTTTATTGACATCTTGTCAATACATGTAAAAGCTACTAAGAAATTTGCGGTTGAAATAATATTTGTGACTTTAAAATTTCGTTATATTTAAAAGTTTAATTGTTCTTTATCTTGATTACTAATGTCATTTGGCTGTTCCAGAACAACAATGAATGAATAATATCTAAAGAAACATGAATTAGATGGGTAATTCCACTTTCTTGTTAAATATGGTAACTCTAGTGTGATATCGTTTTACTTTAGTCAATAGGAAAATAAAACTCTTAGGTGACTTATTCTTGTCTCAATCCCATAGTCAAAAATGTATAATTGGATGAATACAATGATGTTTATAAAACAACACTTAAAGTTATACCGCATAAGTTTTTTTTCTGTGAAAAATCTATATTTATTTCAAAGAGAAATATTTACTATTTCTAACTTTTTTGGATGAAGTATGAAAGGGTGAAAATATGAAGAGTAATGGCGAACAGAAAAATAAAAGTGTCCAGGGGCGGGAATCGAACCCACAACGTTCCGCTTACCGGGCAGATGCCATGTCCACTAGGCTACCCTGGACGTATTTTTCCGTTCGGAAATAATACTTAAATTAACTTATAATACATTATAAAGGACTGCGGCGTATGATTATAAAACAACACTACACTTTGTTACTCTAAGTATTATTTACGAACGGAAAAATACGTCCAGGGTAGCCTAGTGGACATGGCATCTGCCCGGTAAGCGGAACGTTGTGGGTTCGATTCCCACCCCTGGACACTTTTATTTTTCCGTTCGCCATTACTCTTCATATTTTCACCCTTTCATACTTCATCCAAAAAAGTTAGAAATAGTAAATATTTCTCTTTGAAATAAATATTGATTTTTCACAGAAAAGAAACTTATGCAGTATAACTTTAAGTGTTGTTTTATAATCATACGCCGCAGTCCTTTATAATGTATTATAAGTTACTTTAAGTATTATTTACGAACGGAAAAATACGTCCAGGGTAGCCTAGTGGACATGGCATCTGCCCGGTAAGCGGAACATTGTGGGTTCGATTCCCGCCCCTGGACACTTTTATTTTTCCGTTCGCCATTACTCTTCATATTTTCACCCTTTCATACTTCATCCAAAAAAGTTAGAAATAGTAAATATTTCTCTTTGAAATAAATATTGATTTTTCACAGAAAAGAAACTTATGCGGTATAACTTTAAGTGTTGTTTTATAATCATACGCCGCAGTCCTTTATAATGTACAATGATGTTTGATCAAGGTCTTTGGTTTATATAAATTCTACAAGACCACAGTCACCGTTCGGAGGAGATTAATAGAATCGCTTAATGTCGTGGTCCATTTGGATGAGGAAAGTGAAGAATAAAACGCGATTGTTTCCACACTCGCCTTTTCAGTGATACGCTAACTTATACACGGTGGAATCTGTGGCCACTGAACATGGGTCGAACCTGGAAACTGTTGTTTGGTTCTTCGCTACCTGGAGTATAGGAGTTCCATCTATGCTTCTTTCCTGCGGTGAATCTGTATAAGTCTGGTAGTCTTAATAAAGATGTATGTGTGTATGTTTATAAGAAATTATAACCTTTTGAATAATAATAACATTATTGTGTGTATGTTCCAGATGTTCAAGTCCTCCCTTTGGCATTCAAATATGTTCAATGTATATATTCATTTTATATATTCAATAAATTTTATTTTCTCTTAATATTGAATCAGTTTTTAATCTATCTATATATATAAAATTGAATGTCTGTCTGTCTGTTTGTCTGTACTCTATAGATTCAAAAACCATACATCCAATCGCCGTGAAATTTTGGGATATTATTAGGTATATCACCGGGAAGGTTTTTGAAAAATAATTTCATGAATATCTTGAATATCCTTAGAGTTATTTGCAGATTTGTAGATTTAACTCGCAAGCAGCGCCTTCATTGTGACGATGATAACAAGTTTTCTTATCACTAAGTTTGTTATCTTAAATATTATTTATCAAAAGTAAGATTATCTTAGGATGACACGGCAATGTGACACGGGAAAAAATGTTCACTAGATAAAACTATGATTTTCTAATGTAGAAAATTAGGAAAGACAAAATTCAGGATGACACGGCACACGGGGACCGGGAAAAAATGTTCACTTTATCGAGAGTTTCAAATTTACGAGTTTCAAATTATCAAAATATATCTTTTTTTTTAAATAAGTTTTTAGAGAATTGTTTTAACAAATGTTCGCTAGACAAACCTTTACTCGGGTAAAACCCCGGGCGAAGCCGAGTACGTTTTATAAGTTTATAGAGAATTGTTTTAACAAATGTTCGTTAGACAAACATTCACTCGGGTAAAACCCGGGCGAAGCCGGGCACATCCGCTAGTATATATATAAATGAATGTATGTGTGTGTGTGTGTCTGTCCTTTATGCCTGACCAAACCACTCATTGGAACGCCATGAAACTTTGGGAAGTTATTTAATATAGTACTGGGAAGGTTTTTGAAAAATAATTTCTTGAATATCCTTAGAGTTATTTGCAGATTTGTAGATTTAACTCGAAAGCAGCGCCCCCATTGCGACGATGATAACAAGTTTTTTTTATCTATAAGTTTTATTATCACTAAGTTTATTATCTTAAAGATTATTTATCAAAAGTAAGATTTTCTATCTATTAATTGCGTACAAGTCAAAGTTAGTTATCGAGTATTTTTCAAGGGACCGGGAAAAAATGTTCACTAGATAAAACGATGATTTTGTAATGTAGAAAATTAGGAAAGACAAAATTCAGGATGACGCGGCAATTTATTTGAGACAAGAATAATGATACAATTCCAAAGCAAGATACTATTCCTTTAACTTCCAATTACCGAGGGAACCAAATAATATTGATTTTATTCAACTTATCGAGTATTTTTCAAGGGACCGGGGAAAAATGTTCACTTTATCGAGAGATTCAAATTTACGAGTTTCAAATTATCAAAATATATCTTTTTTTTTTATAAGTTTATAGAGAATTGTTTTAACAAATGTTCGTTAGACAAACCTTTACTCGGGTAAAACCCGGGCGAAGCCAGGTACATCTGCTAGTATTAAATAAAAGGTAAATATTAGAAAGGCTACTGAGAAATTAACGGTTGAAATAATATTTGTGACTTTAATATTTTGATATATTTAAAAGTGAAATTGTTTTTTACCTTGATTTAACCTATTCCTTGATATTTGGCCAATCCATTTTCTTGATAAATTAAGAAAAGTAAACCACGAACGTATTTCGGGCTGTTAGCCCTGTTTTTTCAATTTAGTTTGTTATTTTTTCACTACACACTTTTACAACACTGGTTTCAAGTTAAATGGAAAATAGACATGGTCTTAATTTTATCCAGAAATAGATTACTGATATATTTTAGTCTCAACTCATCACTCAAATATAAATAACAAATACACGTTTAAAAAACAGTCAATTACAAGGTGCGTTCATTAATTTCCAGGACTGCTCTGTATCTTTGAAACAAAAAACAAATAAAAAAACTAATTTAATATTTTTCAAAATATGCCCCTCCTGCCTCAATACACCTGTTTCATATTTTTTTCCAATTGTCGAAGCAGGAGATGAAATCACTTTTTGAGAGGTTCCTCAAGGTTGCCTTCGATTCAGCTTGTATCATATCAACGTTGTCAAATTTCCTTCCTTTTAACTTCATTTTCAATTTAGGATAGAGGAAAAAGTCATTGGGGGCTAAGTCGGGGGAATAGGGTGGATGAGGGATCTGTATGGTTGAATGCTTGGCCAAGAACTGCAAAACAACATGGGCTGTGTGCGGCCGCGCATTATCGACGTGAAGTATCCAGTCATTGTTTTGCCATCTTTCAGGATTTTAAGGCGCACTGCCTCCCTTAAGCGCCTCATTATCCCCAAATAAACCTCTTGATTAATTTTACGTCCGAAAGGAATCAATTCATGGTGAACCAAACCATTAATATAAAAAAAAATGTAACAAGCAATGTCTTGACTTTGGATTTTGTAAATCTTGCCTTTTTGGGTTTCGGTTCCCCTCTTTCAATCCATTGGCTGGATTGACGTTTGGTTTCTGGGTCATACTGATACACCCATGTCTCATCCCCGGTAATGATTTTTTGCATCCATTCTGGATCGGTCTGAGTCATTTCAACCATGTTTTTGCAGACATCCATTCTAACCTCCTTTTGTTCCTCTGTTAGAATCCGGGGAACAAATTTTGAAGACGTCCGGATCATGTCCAAATCTTTTGTTACTATTTGATGACACAGTCCTACAGATTGTCCAGTCTCTGAAGATAAGTCTTTAATAGAAATTCTTCTGTTAGATTTAATTAATTCCTTTATTTTGAGCTTGTTTTCCTCGCAACGTAATGATCTTGGACGCCCAGTATGCTGATCATCGTTTACCTTTTCCCGACCTTTTAGGAAGCGAGAAAACCATTCAAAAGTTCTTGAACGGGATAAAGCTGCATCGCCAAAAGCTTCTTTAATCAATTCATACGTCTCAGTAGCACTTTTTTTTCAATTCAAAACAAAACTTAATGCAGATTCTCTGCTCTTCGAAAATGGCCATTTTAAAATTAGAAATGCGAACCTTACAAGGAAGTTGTTTTGTTCTATTTTTAGATCGGCGCGTGCGCCACGAGACTCGTGCTTTCAGTCAGGTGTGGTCGAATGTCCGATATTTAATTCTGTATAAAAATTATTTCTTTAGCTTTTTTATTTATTTTATTTTTCAACCAGTCCTGGATTTTAATGAACGCACCTTGTATATCAGTCTTACCAATCCTTATACAGTAGAACTACCTCCCTATAAAGGACAACACCCAATTACAGAGCCAAAGTGTCTTTTAGGGAGAGGTGTCCTCTTACCGGAGAGTTGATAAATAGTAAAAATGATAATTTTGCAAATAAAACAGCCCTAAGTAGAGAGGTGTCCTCTTACCAGAGAGTTGCTAAATAGTAAAAATGGTAATTTTGCAAATGAAAAAAGCCCTTTATAGAGAGGTGTCCTCTTACCGGAGAGTTGCTAAATAGTAAAAATGGTAATTTTGCAAATGAAAAAAGCCCTTTATAGAGAGATGTCTTCTTACCGGAGAGTTGCTAAATAGTAAAAATGGTAATTTTGCAAATGAAAAAAGCCCTTTATAGAGAGATGTCTTCTTGCCGGAGAGTTTCTAAATAGTAAAAATGGTAATTTTGCAAATGAAAACAGCCCCTTTGTAGAGAGGTGTCCTCTTACCGGAGAGTTGCTAAATATAAAAAAATTATAATTTTGCAAATGAAAACAGCCCTAAGTAGAGAGGTGTCCTCTTACCGGAGAGTTTCTAAATAGTAAAAATGGTAATTTTGCAAATGAAAACTGTCTTTTGTAGAGAGATGTCTTCTTACCGGAGAGTTTCTAAATAGTAAAAATGGTAATTTTGCAAATGAAAACTGTCTTTTGTAGAGAGATGTCTGCTAAAGATAGGATCTACTATATTGATATGTTTACAGTATCCAACGTCATCATAAACATATGGCTATTGATATAGTATGGATGGTGTGTAAATGATTATACGGAATCATTGGCCAATTGGTAGAATTTTAATATAAATAGATAAGTGAAAACTAACTTTAAAAAAGGTCAGGTGTTGATACTAAAAACTGCTGAACTATGTGCTTCCTTCAAAATACACAGTGGCTTCCATCGTGCCTACGTCACGGGACGACGTGGCATTGAGAAGCTTCCAACCACTACCACTAGAGGCGCTGCACCTTTCCCTTCACTTCCTGTTATGTCTTCCCTTGTTCTGGCTACTTACTATGTCGTGATATTAGAAAGAAGGAATCATATATCGCCGCAACTCTTTTTTATTAACGCGATAAAAGAAGCTTTCGGGCAAGCCCTTCTTCAGCTAATTATAGTGTACAAACAAGGAGAGATTATATATCGTTTTTAATATATACAAAATAATATTGAAGCGATGCAGCAGAGAAATAGAAGAGAAGACGTGGGGAAGCGAAGAGAGAAGGGATCAGCCGGCGCGAGCCGCACGCAGTTCCTCGGG